ACTGGATATCGAGATTATTTCTCAATATCGCATTCTATATATATATATATATATATATATATATATATATATATATATCGAATGCCTTGGCAAGCAAAATCAGAGCGCATGCTATATCGCAAAGTGTGTTTTGCCGTTACGTAGCAAAATACGTCGCGTCAGCATCGAGCCAATATATTGGGCTAGAATTTACATAAACGCATGCAGCCTCGCGCTTCTGCCATATCCGAGTGCAAGCAAAACACGTCTATTCCTATGCGCCACTTTGGCCATACGGAAGTGCTATTTTTCTGCCAGGAAATATCGCGACTCGCGAGGCGTCCGTGACAGTGAACAGAATTTTCTCTGTGCGATCAATCGCACTTGTTAAATATTGCACGGAGAAATTTGATCGTTGAAAGCAACTGAATCTAAGCTCGTCGGACACCATTTTAAATGCACCCGGCTGTACAACTGGCAAAGTGGGTTAACGTACTGCCAGGTCCTTATAATCCATCTTATTGATCTTAAAGTAATCGATAAGCTTGCGTTCCTTAAACCCCCGACTCCACGTCCGTTTTCTGAAACAATGCCAGCTGTTTTTATTAGGGATTTCATTTCGTTGTATTCGTAATGGCTCTTCGGATGTCCGCCACTTATTTAATTTCATTCCATGCAGCTACTCTCGACGCGCGTATAAATTTAAAAGCGCGTCGTTGTCCACCCGCGAAAAATAAAATCTCTGCCTTTACCTGTTTTTAGAGACGAGATCACGCGACACACGTTTAAAACGCCGGCGACGACAATTTATCAATAACTTGTCCCACTTTCTCGAAAGAACAAGCGCACGTTTCCTCTTTCGAACGAGGCAATCGTGCCCTGCGTATCGCTAATCGATATTCCAAGACAAATTCCTTCTGCCGTTATTTTCGCTGCATTGGCCAACCTATCTCGTCTACGTTTTTCAACCGATATTTTTTTTCTCTTGCAGGGCGTCAGCACTATCGCAGCAGGTAACTTCCGAAAGATGATTCTATTTTTTGCGACACACCGCTCTGTATTGGAAAGTCGATCGCTCCGGCTCGCGCGCCGAAGGTCCGCTTAAAACGCGGCGCCCCTTTCCGTTTCCCATAGCCCGAGGTCAAGAGGGACTGAATCCGTATGTAAATGGAATCTATTCCGTTGGGACGACCATACGGGAGCTCCCCGATAAAGAGGCCGCGAAAAGCAAGCCGTGAATATAAATGTGCGCTCGCGCTTTGAGAATCAGAGAACTTGCCGGACTCTGAAAAGCAACCTCGCATTACGCAGGCAGACGTAGCTTATCGAGATTGCAAAAGCGATAAGCGAGAGACTCTCTCAAGTGTACAAGAAATTTCAGAGATGATGTCATGCATGATAATGTTATCGCGAATTGGAATAAATCACCGACGATTATACTGACGTGTTAGGGTAATAAATTAACGAGGCGATAGGACACAAAAGGACCAGAAGCAGAGAGAGAGAGAGAGAAGAAGCGATAATACTGCGAATGCCGAAGGAGAAGGTCGATCGAGTCGAGAGCCACGTGTGGTCCATGCAATTTCACGCTACGTATCGCCGATGATACGAGCGAATACGCGGCGGTTTAATTCAGAGACGCAATCTGCACGTCGAGGATGCTGCTCGACGAACAATATCGCCACCTTGCCGATGAGGATAGAATCGGATCGTCGAGAAATAAGCTCAAGAGACTGAAGATGATGGCGGCCGAACGAGGACTTGTGCGCGACTCGCGCTTTTAAGCTAAGCGATAACACTAGGAACGCGCTCGTCATCGTGCCGGCATCATGGGGAATGGCATGAACAAGGTGAGAAATTGCTTTATCAAGGAAGTTTATACTTTCAGATCGATACTCGGTCCGTTTAGATGAAAGAGAAGGAAACGAATGCATTTTTCATATCGGCAGAAACGTAGATCGAGTTGGAGGGATAGTCTCTAGAACGAAATCGTATAGGACGTCTCACTTCTCGCGAAACATATTAGACATTTATCGCTTTGAATCTTTTTTAATGGACACAAATTCCAAAGTGGGATCGACACGTTTGATATTTAATTTGTATTTATTTAGCAACTCTTGTATAATTTATTCGATAATATTGCATTATTTCCTGGATTTTCAGTTATCAGTCTTTATTATTATCTATTGATTGAATATTTGAGAGTCTTTATAGTTTGAAAATATTCAATTTCGCTTCCATCGTTTTCTTTAGTTTCTTAATAGACAGCAACTAATTGGCCACTCTATACAGAAGATTTAAAGAAAGTATCCAAGCGTCTGAAGAAACGTGTCTTAAAAGTCTAATGATGTTTCTGCAAAACAAAGCGAAATGAGAAATCAAAGAACATTGCGAAAATATTGATCTGACTAGCTTCTTGCTATCAAATAATTTCGCTTAAAATCCATTGAAAGTTTTTTTCTTTCCAAAGAGCTAATTACATGTTTATTCGTTATCGCTCCGAATGTAAATGTAAATGCTATTTAATTAATAGCCAGCGGATCTTCGTTAAACGCGTCTTTTTTCTCTCGTCGTAACGGGGTGAGGTTTCCTTTTTATAGCGTGACTGTATAAGCTCCATTCTGACCGAAGAATTGACTTCACGCCTTTATTACTCGACAACTTGTTTAAATGCATTTCAATATAACGACCTAGCGCTCTCGTAACGCTCGCGCTTAACGACCGACGTAATACGCTTGATAATAATAAAATTTTACGTCCGGTAACGCGCGATCGTACAGCTCGTAATTGCGAAACGGAAGTGTAAAAGATAAGCCTGATGGAGGAACGTTGCGGCGAAATGAAACTTCATTTACGCTAATTCCCCTTTTTGATGATTTATAAAATACGGTAAGGACCGTTAAATGAATCAGTTCATAATTTCACTTATGCGTTCTCGTAGCTTTTAATGCATATTTCTTTCTCAGAAGGAAACTAATTTATTGTATAGTTTTACTCATCTTTATACTTTGATACAAGTTATTTACATATATAAAGTGTAATAAACCTCGATAATCCGCTAATTGAACAGAGAATATCATATGTGTACACGCAAACTCTATGAAATAAAATTATACAGTACAAATTATACACAAGATCTGTGACAATATATAAATTTAATATCAAACAGTTACGAGAAAACGAAATAAAACAATGTGTAACATTTATAATCGGCAATTATAATAATATTTATAATCTCAATTGTACTTAATATTTTTTTCTACTATAAAATGCAAAGGTTAACTACTTAAGACGGAATTTACACTCTGCACGTTACATTTTTTTCACAAAATTTCTTGCTTGATAGTGTCCCAATTCCTTGTACTCGTTACGAATTAAGTATCTTATAAATTACGATATAGCATTTTCAATTTTGTATATCTCATATAGTAACATTGAATTGTCACGCTTATATGTCAAAGTATATGCGCCATATTATATCGTTATGATATTTTAATCCACGATCGGTTGAAGAACCACGTTTGTCAGCGAACTCGACGTTTGTAAAGCCCTCACATTTTCGAAAAAAATCCCAGAATGAGTACGTCGATGACGTTCATCTCTCTCTTCCTTTTCTTTTTGCAATTTTTGCTCGTGCATTTGATCTTCTTGCATTGTTGACGAGGGAAATTCGACCAGTAGGTCTCGTGGGTTGCGTCGCCAACTTCCTTCGCAGTAATCCTTGCAGCATCCGTGATCGTTATCGCGTTAACCGTCGACGGGACAGCGTCGGTGGGTGTAAAGGCAATATCTGTGAAACCCTGCGGCGTCGTTGAAGTTTCCGCTGTTGATTCCGATATAGGGTTCAGAATTCTCGCGCGGACATTCGTGTCACAAACGAAAGTAAATAGGCTCTTCACGGCAGGCGATTCGTTCAATTCTCCGGGTGCTTTGCTCCTAGACAACGACGATTCTTTCCTTCGGTCGTCCCATTTTCGGTATCTGCATTTCTTTCTTTGTCCATGGCGTGATTTGCTCTTTGCGAAGGGTTCGACGACTTTCACGCGTTTAACCGTCACTCGTTTCATCAGCTTTAACAATATTCGACGTCTTCCGATTCTCTCGACCTCTTCGACCCCAACCGGCTTCGAGATCGCGTCCACAGTACGATGGAGATGTCTCGATGGGGAATGAGGTCGGAACATCGGAAGTGACGGGACGGATGACAGCAAGTTCGAGATGTTTCTCAGAGAACGTACGAAGAGGGTTTCGATGTCACCCGCGGGTGGATGATAGCTGGATCGCGATGTCGCGTCGAGCGATCGATGTCCCGATGCTATCTGCACGCTGCCATGAATCGCGCAAACACACCAGGAGACCACGAGCGATCGGAATCGCATTTTCGTCGCCAACAATGCAGGCCGCACGATAGCTTGTTTATTATTACTTTTTATAATTATTACTTTTTCTTTCCACAGACATTGTCGTCTTCCCCTCGTTTTTTTTATAACGTTTTCGTTTTCTTCCTCTCTTTGTTTCTGATTGATTGATCGCGAGACTCCCGAGAAAAGTAACCCGTCAGATGTGGTCGTCTCGCTGTGCTCTCGTCGATCCAGCCGCCTCTTTTCATTTAAAATAAACGAGTGTGAAAGAGCGGAGGAGGGAGCGCAGTCGATACAGCACAGGGGAAGATGGAGGAGGGTAATCACTGCGCGATAAGAGCAGTTCAAATGAAATTAAATCGCGGGGGAACTGAGACTAACGACCTGCGTCGGGAGAGAATGGATATTTTCGAGGTAGTTTATTGCGAACGGGAAAATAAATGTCACACACGCAAAACAGTCCAAGAATATATTGCCACAACATACTTATTGCTTCTCTGAACGTCTTAATTTGCCTATCGCCCATCGCGTTAACTCAATCCCCAAGCTCGTTTAATAGAAGAAGACAACGACTCTCTGGTGAACACAATCGCGCTACCGTTAGAAAAAAACTGAATCAATATTGGTCGGGAAATCGTGGAACGAGGAAAGCGGCGCGAGTAGCGTTTAAGTTAATGTATGCCTCCCATCTGTAGCTTAAACACTACCCTTCATCAAAATTCAATATTTGCTAAAACAGTAAGTTAATCTAAGATTACCGCGCCGTCGACGGCCATCACGAATCCATCACGCAGGTTTGCATTTCTCCTTCGCCTTTTTCCTGACCTGGATTTCTTTGTCGTCTAATCATAAATAATCTTTCGCCAAACAGAACGGCGAAAGGGGTTCGGTATTTTAAAATAGAGCTGCCGAGAAAAGAGGGACCGATAGAAATATTATAATTTATTTAAGGTCACGGTTTGAAAAATCTGACGCTTTATGAATGTTCTTGATTTTGTGGAATATCTAGTATCATACCTAATTGAATATGAATTAAGAATTGCCGCGAAATTATGTGTCATCGCCATAATTCCCTCGCATTATCGTTCCCAGGTGCTTTCTGGTCTTTATGTAGGTAATTATCAGGACAGCAAGGATGAGGATCAGCTGGAGCAATTTGAAATCACGCATATTCTGGCTATTCACGACACGGCTCGTCGTTTGCATTCCGTGAGTACAAACGATGTGTAATAGCATTGTACATGTTGAATTTTAGAATCATCATAGCTGGTATAATTAACTGAAGGACACAGATTAGAAACATTTATATTTATTGTAAAAATACATTGATTACACCTCAGTTGCATTTCAGGACAAGCATTATCTGTGCATCATGGCCGCCGACAGTCCCGATCAGAACTTGACGCAATATTTTTCTCTGTGCAACGACTTCATTCATGCCGCCCGTCTACGCGGCGGAAACGTTCTGATTCATTGGTAGATATACATTTATTGTCAAATACAAGATGTTTCAAAATCGTTGGACTGTCTTCTTTGCTACAGAATTTTTTTAATCGATTTCAAAATATATTTTTCCTCAATAAAATTATCGAATCTATAATTTTCGAATAATTAATAATTAAAGGAGCAAATTTTGTTAATGAATAGAAGGTGGAAGTGAAAAAAGAGGCGTAAAAACTAAACATTAAGGAAGGAAGTACAAGTAAATTAATCAAAGAAAGTTGTAGTTAAAAAACACCCAATGATTTTGTGGCAAAGTGTTTCAAAATTGCAATTTATAAAGGCAAAACAAGAATTTTTTAAAATGAATAAAGATAACTTTTTCAGTCTAGCAGGAATGTCGAGAAGCGTGACAGTAGCGGTGGCTTACATCATGAGCACCACCAATCTATCCTGGAAAGAGGCGCTCAAAGTCGTTAGGGTCGGTCGTTCCATTGCAAATCCGAATGTCGGCTTTCAACAGCAGCTCAAGGATTTCGAATCTAGCCGTTTACAAGAAGTAAGTGATAAAGAAAAGGATGTTTCTTTGTCGTACAAAAAATTCAGATCGTATACATATGTATATATATATATATAATCTTCTTTTTTTTATCTATTTCTTTTGGAACACAGGGTCACGCTCTCTATTTCCCAAACGATGTTTTTCTTTTTTCTGCGCGTTTTAACTTTCTATATTTTATCAGAAAATTTTCAAATTATAGTCGATTTTATTTTGCATTATTAAATCAGATCTTTACTGTATTACATCTTGATATAGGAGCGTAATAGGTTGAAAGAGCGATTCCCCAGCCTCGCTCTCGCCGAATCCGACGCCGAGGCATGTAAATCCACTCTGAGGAATTACGAAACATTGGCTCTAGCAAGAGAGGTGTGCGAGGGTAAGTGCGCCATGGGACGCACTTGTCCGACCGGGCTTTGCCGTCAGGCAGCTTTTAAGAGGTAATTACATCGAAATTCTCAATTATAAATTAATATGTATATGTCCTTATCCTATCCAAGAATAGGAATTATAATAAAATGAAAAACTTCATTTACAATATAAAAAGTTACATATAAACTAGAAAATGAAATCAAATGGATAGAAAGTGTTGTGTAGAATAAACAAAGTAGTATATAACGTGGCAGGACTCTGAGAAGGAAGTCATCCACCAGCAGTATCGGAAGCGTGTCATCCGGCAGGACACCTCCTCAAACACCCCGGATGCTACCGTCCGCGCCACCCTCGCCGGCTTTGCACAGATCATCTAGCGTTGTGTCCACATCGAGACCGAGAAGTGGACCGGCAGGATTGCACTCTTACACCGGAGGATCCGCTCCACCTTCTAGGTAAGAGTAAATCTCGCCCTTTATTTTTTTTTCGTACTTATCTAAAATTATTTAAATTTAAATTGAAAGGAAATTATATATTTTATTGAAGAGCATTACGATTCAGTACTTTAATTGTCATATTTATATTAATAAAAATACGATGAGATTTGAGAAGAAAAAAATATTTTCTTCCAAGAAAGTAAAATTGCTTATTAAAAAGAACTGAGACACGTTTTTTAAGAATTGCAAATTTTTCCGAAAGTTGAATAACGTGGATTATTCAGGGCTGTGTCGAGGGTGGATCTTTCGGCGGCAGTTGCCTGCAGCAGCAGCAGCAGCAGCAACACCAGCCTTTCCGCCGTGGGCAGATCGAGCGCGTTCTCTACTAGCAATTGGCGATTGACCGCCGGTTCCGCCCCGAACACGCCGAGACCGACGCCGCCGGTCTCGCCGCAACGCTGGCCGAGGCGGCTCTCGAATCGGCAGACGCCGCAGTTGCCGCAGGTACCATCGGACCCTTCGACGTAGCGTCGGGAGTCGCGCGGTTCGCTGTCGAGCCTGGTGGAATAACCGAAGGAGATCGGCGAACCGCTCGAGGATTTTACCGCCAATATTATGCGCCCTTCACCGTCAGCAGATTAAATCACATATTTGCTAATCATTCTTCAGCGTTGGAAGCAATCAGGATTCAGGATGAGTCCTGGAAGGAAATTTCCGGTGAAAGAGAGAGAAAAGGTTTCGATAAAGGTATCTATGAATTACATAAAGACGTGCCTGCGAACGTTTTTTACACTTTGGGATTTTGGGACATTCGGGATATTTAGTGAAATGTAAAATTGTTCGAGAAACTATCACGGGTAAATAATGATGTATGCAATTTTGCGAGATAATGGAGCCATATGTTGGCTCAATATGAACTCGTCGGGCCGGCGAGGGGAAACGTCGATACATCGAATACACGTAATGCGTTGCTGGAAATTGTTGGTGATATTGAACTTATACAAGTTGTTACAAGTTGTTGCTTATACTCAGCACAGCGAGAAAGTGCTTTTATCGCGGATAGAATGGGAAACGAATGAGATTCTCTTTGTACGCATTGGGAGAACTTCGTGTTTTGTGTGAGTTATAATTTCGCGCCCCACACAATTAGACCTTCGTCCCTGATTAGATTCTCTCACGGAGAAATATCTAACGACATCAACGGATACTGACAATCTGTCATTTAAATATATCACGAGGTAATGAATTGATAATAGATCGATCTGCGAGGTGAAATAGTAAATTGGAAAGATTGACACATTCGGGACATGGAATTAATCCTTTGGGGCTTTATCGATTTACAACGATAATTGCGTGCAATTAAGTATGAGTGGTTATTTCGCGCTTTTTACGGCGTCGTTCAATCGTGCTAATAACGCGCTCGTTAACGATCCCCGCGTGCAATTTTTCCCTTGATAATGCGCGAATCGTTACCAACTAATTATTGGTTGTGAAAAAGAACATTGCTCAAAGCGGCAATCATGCAATACATACAACAATGTTCCCAAAGGATTAATAAAAAAAGGGACATAAAAAAGAATATATATAATTGAACACGCTAGTGCTCGAACGTAGATAATTTTGAAATTGATCGCGCAAAATATACAGAGTTGTCGAAGAATATTTTTCGATAGAACTTGCGGCGTGTGTGTGCGTGTGTAAGAATGTAGATGAATCGTGACACGTGTTAAGAGAACGAGAATACGCAAAGCAAGTCGATTTACTTCCGGATCTATGCGCGATTCAAGATTCGTCCCTATGAAAGGGACCGAGTTTGCGCGATTACGTTTGCAGGAAATGAGGGATCTTCGTTCTACCAGCCTGTTCCATTAATTTCGTTCGCAACCGTCCATGTATGATTGTTGGCTTTCTAGCGAGATCGCACTGTTTTATCACAAGTTGTTGAAGAAGAAGAAAGAAATACGTTATACACACACACACACACACACACACACACACACACATATATATACATACACACATGTTGGAAACGTACACCTACATTGTTGTGCAAAGGGCTTTCAGAGAATTTTATAAGCGCGCCAGGTGATCGCAATGATATTATATTATATACGAGTAAAGTCGTAGTAGGCATTAGGCGCAAAATCGTTGTTGTTGTCTCGTCAGCACGAGCACCAGTCGTCGACGAATGAGTCGAGATTTAAGATAACGTCGCTTCGATCCCCCTCAGTATTTCCTAGTGCGCACGATAAAAGTAATGTAGATCGTTTTTTAATCGTTTCCCATGTACGTTTCACGTACACGTGGAAAGCTATGCATCGCGGCGAATTACTCGATGCGCAAGCAATAGTCACACCAGCCGATCAAAACTAACAGAAAATCATGATGTATACCATTATATCAAACGCACATTTCTTGTCCCATTAATCGCGTATACTTTCTAAAGAAACATGAAATAGAAATTCACGAACAGAGTTGGATTTATACTTTACAGATGTTCTCTCTTAGGAAAACAGCAAATTTTTAAGATATTTTTTAAAAATAAAAGATATTAATAGAAATTAACATAGTATTATAAAAAGGACAGAATAATTAGAGACATAAATTATTATTTAATTTTAACAGCAAACTTTTAAAATCACTAGATCATGTTAAACTCAAATTTTATTGAATTTGAATTAGCTGAAGATTCGTAGTTATCTACGAAATAACTGAAAAGAAAGCAATATTTTACAAGGAGATATTGTAATATATATAGAGTATCCCACTATCACCGTACAATACTTTAATCGCGTATTCTGGAGAATAGAAAATCTTGGTATTAAAATGTCAAGGTCACAATAATTTTCGAGTTGTAAGCCAAGTAGACTAATGGTACCATGCAACGTTCACACGCTGCTGGTAACTGTGTAGATCTGTCATCTATTACTCATTTTCACGTGATATTGATTTTTGCTGCTCAGCTGATTCCTGTACTATTTAATTTCACATTTATAGATATTATATATATCTGCATTTATATATATAGATATATATTATACATTTTAAAAGCAAGGAATATCGATATTTATTTTATGATGCATTAAACATTTCGGGACGGTGAAGAATCTTGTTTATATAGCGACGGCACGCGATAGCGTACGATGCTTATTTTTGCATGCCATTGCGTTATTCCTTGAAATATGATCGTGATAATTGCCGGGAGGCGCCAGCGATATATTAAAAATTGCGATGAATTTTTCCCCAGTTCATAAAATTACCGTCATAATGGTATTATTTATTGAAGCAGCTTTGTTTATTTATAATCTCAACGCGATTTAAATTTAAATCATTTAAATTAAGAATCGGGGCAATAAAGTATGGGACTTATACATTGCTCCGTTGTGATATTTACGGATAATTATTTTTTAATAATATTTAGATTTGAATAATTACGTCTTACATCTAGCGCGTTGAAGTTAGATATTTAACCATTATTTTTATATTGTAACACAAATTGCCGGGTTATTATATATCATCAGTATATAATATCATGATACACATATCATCGGAGCGAGTTTCGGATTGGATTGCGGAACTAACAGAAAATCATGATGTATATCATCTGACCGTTGATTAACAATACCGTTTGCCTCACGAATTGCGCGTGCAGTATTGAATTTTGACGGTTTATCCAACGTCACTGATACATTTATTTATTTATTTATTATTCAAAATAATAATTACCTTACAATGCGTGCATATATTATTTGTTGTTTAAAGTACGAAAGATACATGAGTATTTTCAAACAGTAAAAACAGTATCTCCAGTGTTGCAACGAGTCTTTCGTCGCGTCGTTTCTTTCGTCGCGATGTAATAAAACACACGTCGCGAACAGTTAATGTTAGAAATGCTGCCTTAAGTGCCGCACGGGTCGTTATACTCTGGTGATTAGTGCGCGCGATTGTAATTAACTGTGTGTATCTTCGTGAATTAAAGTTGTGTGAGTGGTCCGCCCTTCCGACAAAGAAGCAACAACGAACAAATAAGAAAAAGGGAGAAGGCCTTGGAGGCATCGAGCGACGGTTAAGCGTCTGTGGTGGGGTGAGTACATTTTTATTTGCGGAATGAATTATTTTCGTTTATTTGATTTCTCATTTATTTGAGTGATTTATGTAAGAATTAGAAGGACTTTTATTTATAAAATCTGATAAATATTTACGCCTAAAATGATTTTTGTGGCAGTTATATGATTATTTTATTAAATATTCAATTGAAAAATTGATAAAGATGAAGAGTGTGCGTAATAATTATTTTTTAAGATTTGAATTATTTTGAAATACTGCTATAATTTAGGGTTTTTATAATCGTATTTTGCAGTTTATATAGTTTGCATAGTTAATACGCATTGCGCATCATACTGGTAAGTCTCAATAAATTATCTTTTATTTTAATTTGGTAACGGATTCGTGAATATTAGATAAATACAACAGATTTATTGCCCTGAAATGGATGAGCTAGGATTAATACAAATATTTAATCGTGGCAAATGTGTAACCGTCCATCTATTATGCATTCAAGAATGCATACATACAAACTCATAGAATATGGCTTGTTGTTGTCGACATTATTGACCGGTTTGGTTATTTACTGGCTTATTTCGATGTCACATTAAATAATGGAATAACATTAATTACAAAGGGCCATATAAACCGCTTTAAAACTCTTAGGAAATTTTACAGTTTGCATAAATAAAAAAACAGATAGAAAGGTATATTTTGATTATAAAAGAGTTTTTAAATAGCAACAATTTGGTAGCAAATAAATTGATAATATTGCTGTAATTTTTTGTAGTAGAGTATAAAGTTAATTTTATTTCTTACTTGTAGGATTATCTCTGGATGAAGATGGAACAAGACATTTTAAAAATTATATATATATATACCTATATATATATATATTTCTGTAATTAAATATATTTTATCATATAGATATGTATCAATATGTACGTGTGTATATTCACGTATAATAGAAATAAAATTATGTCCTGTAAAGTACGGTATGAAAAAGTTGTTATTATTTATTTGCGTTAACGTATTTTCTCTTGTTTTTCCTTTTTACATATTTGAAAAATAAAATTTGAGGTTTATATTTGGTCTCCCTATATACACATGTTCTTTTTTCGCAGTTAGGTAGAATATAAATAAGTATATAAAATTTTGTGTAAAGGAAGAGGGATGCTCAGAAATACTCAGAAATTTTTTTAAATATAAACATAAAAAAATAGGAAATACGTCACATTCAAGTGACAAACTTCAACTAATTCGATTAAAGAATCTGTGTTAATAATTATTAATTGTATATGTTCTTATAATGCGCTAATTTTATGTTAGACTTTCAATAGTCTATTCATTCTTATTGATATATTGACTTTATATCACTTGAAATAAAACAGAAAGGTATCCAGTAATTATTTTATCGTAGAATAAAAACTTTGCAGATTATTTCAAAATTACATTTCTATATAAAATGCAACACAATAAATATTAAAATATCATATATAAATATTTTTACTAATATTTTGATACTACATTAAGTAGAACACTTATTAACATTTAGTACATGTTACCTATTTTTTAAAAAATTAAAAAAATTCTATTTTTTAAATATAATTTTTTGTAAGAGTATTAAAATCAATATTTGATGTTTAAATGGACAATTTGGTATTAACTTTGTATTAGCGAAAAAATTTATTTAAAAAATATTGAAAATATTGATAGAAAATAAATGGAAAACGATGTGACAAGAGTGATTGATTCTCAAACATATAAACTTTATACAAGTACAAGATTTATATTTGTAATAAAAATACATGATATTCTTTTCGAGAGAAAAATCGATTTAAGCACAGATTTCATGTGTGATTAATTAGGACATTTAATTATTGCAGATTATGTTATTCAATTAAATCGCCGTATATTTATCAGAACTGAGCAATAAAAATTGATAATTGACAATTGATTGATAAACGTAACTTTGAAATATCAGAATTTTTAACTCTAAATAAGCTTTAAAATGCGCTATTAGAATATTATATGATAAATATATGTGATATTCTCTATATTCGGAACAAAGTAATTAGAATTAAAATTAATCACGTAGAATTAATTAAGATAAAAAATATACCTAAGACTAAAAATTAAATAATTTTTTTATTTACATATAGGAAAAATATAAGTAAATACAACTCTGTTCGTGTGTCAGAAAAAAGTAGAGCATAATTCATAATCATCCTATATATTCGTAGATCGTCGAGGAAATTGGTATAACGCAAACATTATTACGGGCTTCTTTGCGAACGCACAATCGGGTACGAGTTTTCGTTTTACGGGAAAGTAGTATGACATAGAAAATAGGGTAATTCCGAGTTTAACGTCGTAACGGTGAGAGTCTGCCGTTGAGATCGCATCCCGTAAAATAGCTGCTCCACGTGTTTGGCTTTAGCGTCAAACCTATTTCCGATGTGAATGATTGCGATCGTAAACTCAATCTATATTGTTGCACGCGTTCGTTTAATGTTCTTCATAAAAATGCGCTAATTACTCCGCAATATCAAGCTGCATCTCAATGTTGATCAGCTGCCGTCGATCAGGCGTAAAGCGAGAGGGCGATCGAGGATGCGTTCGTACATATCATTCGTCTTTAAATCCATGTACCTACACACACACACACACACACATATATTTTTTAAGGCCGCGTTATACAAGAGATCGATGTATTCGAGCAGAGAGAGAGTTGGCGATCAGCCGTAAAGAATTTAAATCTATAATGCATTTAGCGTGCGTCCCGTTCTCACGGAGCGAACACAGGCGACTCGAGAGAGGAGAAATTCATTTTTCATTGGAATTTTCATTTGCAATTTTCTCCCCGTGTTGCTCTTGTTAGTCGTAGCCGTCAGACAAAGTGGTCCAAGAGGAATAGAGAATACAAATCTGTGATCGCTATATTATTGAAAGACCTACGAGAATATTATTCGCTTTGTGAGACTCGGACCGGCACACTTTCTATAGGCGACGTACATACGTAGATGATTCTACTTTTTTACAGCGTCAATGTTAACGATCACATGTAGGTAGGTAGATAGGTAGATAGGTAGGTAGGTAGGTAGGTAGATAGGTAGAGACACCCTGAGAGCATCGAAAGTGGTATCGATGCCGAGGGAGTGAAGTATCGGTAGCTTATCGATTCGAAGCATCGCTAAAACGGTAGCTAAGTCCCCGACGTGTAACGCGCAATCGAGGCCGATAAGCGAGCGGTGCGAAAAACGCGGTGTGAAAAGAATCGCTGGACGATATATGGCGTACAGTGATGACTGGGAGTGATTTCGCACGGATAAAATTTAATGATCTGTCTGTTTCGGGGGAGACCGGGCGACAAATACGATGTTGAAAGGAATCGTTTATCAAACGACGTTAACGTTGTTTTTTCGCTTTCCCATATATCGATGTGGTGACAGATTTTTTTTTTGTTATACCTTATTTCATTCCATCTAAATTCGATACGAAAAGATATCGCAAAAGTAAATCGAGAAAAGATTCTCAGATATTCGCAAAAATATTTTCTATCGCGAATCTCCTCAACGAAGTGCACGGTAGTAACACTACCGTATACCCTAGCTACGCGTAGATTAAATGTAAAAATATCGGTTCAGTTACTCCGGAATCACAATCAGCACTTTTACCCATCCGGTCATTACTGTGCGGCGAGGGCACCGCGTATATAGAGTCGCGTAGCGTCGCGCCGGCTCGGCGTTGCATGTGCAATCGTGATTTTCTAGCAATAAGCGGAGATTATCGACGCCCGCGCGAGCCGGCAAATCGCGCGAGGAGATCGTGGGACGCCGGTTATCGCTCGTAGATGTTAGCGCGAGCAAGCTTGATCGTTATTAAACACTGCTGCGAATTGAATCGTGCGATTCGTCCGCGCGCTATCGCGCGCCCATACTCTGTCGTACTTAGATATCTATTAGAGGTTCACGATGATTTATTTTTCTAATACCAGTGACGATCGTCCATTTGATTAGGCGATTCGATTGCGAAGAGGAGCAGGGCGACAATTTGGTCGGCGAAGGAAACGCGAGGAGCGTGAGGAAGACGTTCGAGATGTTGACTCGTACCATACCTTCGTACGAAATATATCAGCGAGAGCGACAAATCGTACGATAAGTTGTTGTATCGCGAGATTACTGTTGCACCGATAATGTTATTTTAAGGCCACCCATGTGATATTTTTGTAAGCTGCAGAAAGAAACGTTTTGGTTCACGCTAAAAGTGGTCGAAGAGTTATTTCGCCTTCCGACGAGAGCGAGAGCCGCACCATTTCTTCCTACCGACAGTATTTCTCCACCTCCACCGTCTTCCTTTCATTGTCATGATAACTATCCACGATAACTAGTGAAAGTTCTGTTAATTTAACTTTAATGAGTTTGCCCTGACTTGGGAGGTAATTTGATCAGCAGTTTCTATGCTTTTCATCCATACCAGCCTCTCGCTATCAACTTTTCTGTTTAATATACGGGACGAATACAGATATAGGAAAATCTGTGATTAATTAGCTCAATTTTCGTAGTCCGGAGATATTACAAATAAGGGGTCGGATTATCGTTAGCGTTGCAGTTAACCTCAAGCCCTTCAGATATACTGTATCTGCGGGCGAAACTAAATTATGCTAATATCGATTGATACATTTGATTGATGGCCTGCTTATACAGGTATTACACGGGGTGTCCCGTGAGGAAATGTTGACGTCTACGCCAGGTGATAGTTCCCGACCTACGGAGCCTGCAATCTGCCAATTAATAATCGAGAGACGTCGCGCGAAGGAAAAACAAACTCGAACGAAACGTACGTAAGAAACAAATTCCAGTTAACTAATTGTAAGCGATAAGTCCGCCGATGTCGGTGAGTGAGCTGTAAATTTAGCTCTTATTTGCAACAAAACGCGATTTCTATCGTTTTCCCCGCCTTTCTCGTTCACGGCGCCTTAATTAATCCAAAAATATCGTACGCCTGTAAACGTCGAGATAAATATCGGGCTGGATTTTAACGCGCACGATCGCTATCGCATTCCAAGGCATCGGCGTACCTCTCTTCTCACGCGACACCCTGTAAACGGCATGTGAATTCACGTCTATTGACGAACCGTATCGGCTCGGGGGCGCGCGAGACACGAGAGACGCGTAACAAGGTGA